GTGGGAGTCCGCTGTGCGAGGAAGGCCGGGGTGCAGTCACCGTGAGTGTCGTCGGGCGTTGCGTAACGGGAAGGCGATACAGGGGTGGTGCAGAAAGATGCCCCTTTTGTGGACCTTGGGGGCCCGGCCTAGCGGGACCCCCTGGGGCCCAAAGGAAGCCCGAAAGGTGCACGGTTCCCCCCCTCCCCTTCCCGTGCATCGCCCCCCCATGACGCAGCGCCCAGTGTCGAGTCATGGGCGCGTCAGTCTTCCCCCCCGTGTATCGCCCACCCATGGCGCAGCGCCCACTGTCGAGTCTCTGGCATCCATGGTTTTCGCCAGGAACGAAGCCTTTCGCTTCTGGGGGAGCCTTGCTGGCCCAGATGTGAAAGAGCGCGTTTTGTGGTCGCTTGGAGGGGCGGGGGGGGGTTCCAACCCCCCCCCCTCTGGATGGAGATGGTCCCCCCCCCCCCCCTGACGGAGGAGGAGGGGGGGGGTTCGATCCCCCCCCCCCCCCCCTACCTCTCCCTCCTGTCTCCGTCTCCCTCTCCTCGGCTGGCGGCGCGGCAGCGGGGACGACAGTTCCTTTTTTGGGCCCGCGCCGGCGCCTGCGGCGGCGGGCGGCGGCGGCGGGGAGCGTCGACGAGGACGACGGTGGTGGTGGTGGTGGTGGTGGTGAGTGGTGGTGGTGGTGGTGGCGGTGGTGGTGGTGGGTGGTGGTGGTGGCGGTGGTGGTTGTGGTGGTGGTGGTGGTGGTGGCGGTGGTGTGTGGTGGTGGTGGTGGTGGTCTGGTGGTGGTGTGGTGGTGGATTGTGGTGGTGGTGGTGGGTGGTAGTGGTGGTAGTGGTGGTGGGTTGTGGTGGTGGTGGTTGTTTGGTGGTGTGTGTTCTGGTGGTGGTGGTGGTGTGGTAGGGGTAGTGGTGGTGGTGGTGGTGGTGGTGGCGGTGTTGGTGTTGGTGTCGTGGTTTGTGGTGATGGTGGTGAGTTGTTCTGCTGGTAGTGGTGGCGGTGGTGGTGGTGGCGTGGTAGATTTTGGTGGTGGAGGTGGTAGTGGTGGTGGGTTTTTGTGGTGGTGGTGGTGGTGGTGGTGGTGGTGGTGGTGGTGATGGTGAGTTGTGGTGGTGGAGGTTGTGGTGGTGATGGTGGCTGTGGTGGTGGTGGTGGTGGTGGTGGTTGTGTGGTGGGTTGGTGGTGGTGGTGGTGGGTTGAGGCGGTGGTGGTGGTGGTAGTGGTGGTGGTGGTAGTGGTGGTTATCGTCGCTGCGTCCCCGCCGTCGCAGGCGCCAGCGCCGGCGCTGCTGGCCGCCGCCAGCGCCGGCGCCGGCTCCAGGGGGGGTTGGGGGTTTGAACCCCCCCCCCTCGGCGGGGGAGGGGGGGGTTGAACCCCTGACCCCCCCCTGGGCTGCCTCTAGTCATCGTCGCTGCGTCCCCGCCGTCGGCGCTGGCGCCGGAAGGGGGGGGGGTTGAAACCCCCCCGCCCCCTTTGGAAGGGGGGTGTTCGAAACGCGCTGCCGAATGTTCCCAAGGCAAGCGCCCGTGAAACGCGTTCTCTCCCAGAAGTCAATCCAGCCCTGCAGTGTCCGACTGCACGTGTCAGGCGATAGCAAACATGGATCGAGGGGGCGTGGATTAGCGACGGGTCTCGTTTCCATAGGAGATCGCGGATTTCCGCCGCCGAACGGGGCGGCACCGGCCGCCTTTTGGGGAGGGCACCTCCCCCGATCCATGCATTTGGCGACCGCGCGCCAAACCCAGGGATCGCTAATTCATTTTTGCGCGCCCCCGAACGCAAGCCAATCCCGCCAACCTGGCCCAGAAACCAGTGCCAATCCGTGACAAAACAAGGGGCCTTCCAGGGCCTCGCCCTGCGAAACAGATTCGCCCACGCCGCAAACCTGGCGCAACCATGTGCGAAGCCTACCCCTTCGGATCCAATCGACGCTGGTTTTCTCGCTCTGACGCAGAGGCGTTCCTGACCCCTGCGAGTCTGTCCAAGTATCTGCCCAACAAGGGCCTGGTCCCGTATCTACCCTCACCTATAACCTTCGCCCATAGGCTCTCGCCGCCGACGCCCTGCGCGGAAGGTTCGCGGAAGGCGCGCGGAGGCTGGCCAAAGTGCAACGAGGGCGGTTTCGCCGGAGGACGCTTGCGGAGGCGTGGCGCGGAGGTCAAAATCCCACCAGCCTTTTTGGCGACAGGTGGTCTAACGAGATTCCTTTTCCCTCTTCCAATTGCATCCAAAACGGCCTTGGCGAGGAAACCCTAACCATTGATTTTACTGAGGTTTGGGCCCCATTTTGGCCTCTTTGCGGGGGGGCCGAACGTCCTCCTTTGGTCGATGGCCTTCAAGATGGCCCCAAGAGGCCTTTTCAGGGCTCCCAAGAGGGCCCCAAGAGAGCCCCAAGAGGGCCCCAAGAGGGCCCTAAGACGGCCCCGGAGGCCTCCAAGACGCCCAAGATGGCCTCCAAGACGGCTATGATGGCCCCAAGATGCCTCCAAGACGGCCGAAGATCCACCCAAGACGGCCTGAGATGGCCTCCAGATGGCCTAAGACCGCCCAAGAAGCATTCCGACTGCTCAAGACGGCCCAAGAGGCCCCCAAGATCGCCCACGAGGCCTCCAAGATGGCCCCATGACGGCCCAAGAGGCCCCCAAGACGGCCCCAAGAGGGCCCAAGAGGCTTCCAAGACGGCCAAAATGGCTTCCAAGACTGCCAAGATGGCCCCAAGATGCCTCCGAGACGGCCTAAGATGCACCAAAGACGGCCTAAGATGGCGTCAAGATGGCGCAAGACGGCCCAAGAGGCCTCCCAAGAGGCCTCCAAGACGGCCCAAAAGGCGTCCAGGAGGTTCTCCAGGAGGGCACGAAGAGGCCAAACTCACTGATTTGCCTGAGGTGTTTGAAAGATTTTGGCATGTGCTTCTTCTCGGCATTCCGACGGCTCAAGAAGGCGCAAGAGGCCCCTAATATCGCCCAAGAGGCCTCCAAGATGGCCCCATGACGGCCCAAACGGCCCCCAACACGGCCCAAAGAGGGCCCCAAAACGGCCCAAGATGCCACCAAGACGCCCAAGATGGCCTTTAAGAACCCCTGATCTGCACCATAGGATTAGGGAGGGAACCCAGCTTGAGGCTGATGTGTCCCTACTCCAGGGGCCGTCCAGAGCTATTTTCCTCTAACCCAACTTCTGGGCCTTCCCCACCTATGCGTCCCGCCGAAGGAGGGAGGAGAAGGAGGAGGAGGAGGAGGAGGAGGCGGAAGAGCAGCAGTCGTCAACAGGAATCACAGCTCGCGCCCCGGATCCGGAACCAGCCATAGCAGCAGGAGGCGGAGGATGAGGAGGAGGAGAAGGAGGGAAACGATACCGAGAAGCGCGAGGGGTCGCTCGCCGCCCGTGTCTCGTCCGCGCCAGAGCCCAGGCATTTGTGGACATTGACCCGATTCCCCCCCCCCCCCGCCCCCGAGCATGAAGGAATTCTGTCCTAGAGGAGCGTGGCCCTGGAAGTGACTCGCCGTTCTCGCGCCCTTCGGGCCCTCTCCTGGCCACCTCTAGGCCAGACCGTCAGACAGCTTCTCGGGATGAAAAACTGGTCCTGGGCAGCACCTTGGGGTGTAGGAACAGTTCTCTTCAGGACCCACCTTTGTGGCGCGTGTCCCCGCCCATGGGTTCGCTCGCGTACCGCAGGACGTCGTCGACGCTGTGGTCAAGCAGCCAGACCCGAAGAAAAGGCCGACGAACCCGGTGGCCAAGCAGGGGAACAGGCCTCGTCCTCAGCTCCTCCTCGTCCTCCTCGCCGTCTGGGGCTCGGAAGATCGGTCGGCATGGTGCCAGGGAAAAGGTACAGGAGCTCAGTTTGAGAGGATTTCGGAATCGGCTCCAACTGGAATTCAGCAACTACTTCCGCTGGTCCTAGCCGTGCCCATCTGGGGCCCGAGGTTGGTGTAGAGACCCGTTTTGCCTTTGCCAGGAGGGGGGGAGGGGGGGGGGGCGAAACTTTCTTAGAAGGCTTGAGTGGGCCCAATCAGGGCCTCCCTGGCCGCCCTCTCCAGAGCTTGTTTTCGTGTCGTGTCGTCGTTCTTGGCCACCCTGCCCTGGCCTCCCTGGTGCCCCCCCCGCCTGTCCTGGTCCCCCATGCCCCTCTGCCCTTTCCTCCCTAGCCTCTCTGGCCTCCCTCCTGGCCTCTCTGGCCCCCCCCGTTCCCCCCAGGGCTTTTCCCAGGGCTTCGATGATTGTATTTCGGCTCCGCACCGGTCGATGCAGCCCCTAAGCCCCCACCTCCCAGCGCGCCCCTCTCCGCATCCATTTTCTAAAGCAACCATGAGCCCCTCGGCCCTCCGCATCCCTCCCCCGCCAACCAGCGAAGCCAGCCCGCCAGCCAGCGCGCCCCCTCGGCACTGGTCCCCCACCAGCCAGCGCGCCCCCTCCGCCCCGACCTTTTTATTTCGGCACAGCACCGGTCCTACCAGCCAGCGCGCCCCCTCTGCCCCGACCGCTTTATTTCGGCACGGTACTGGTCCTATCAGCCAGCGCGCCCCCTTCCGCCCCGGTCCAACCAGCCAGCGCGCCCCCTCCGCCCCGACCGCTTTATTTCGGCACGGCACCGGACCCATCAGCCAGCGCCCCTCCCCCATCAGATAGCTCAGCCAGCCCACCAACCAGCGCGCCCCGTCCGCTCCGACCGGTTTATTTCGACACGGCACCGCTCCCCCCCCCGCACCCCCCGTGCAGCCACTCCCTCCGCCGCGACCCCAGCGCGCCCCCTCCGCCCCGACCGCCTTATTTCGGCACGGCACCAGTCCCGCCAGCCAGCGCGCCCCCTCCGCCCCGACCGCTTCAGTTCGGCACGGCGCCTGTCCCCCCAGCCAGCGCAACCCCTCTGCCCCGACCGCTTCATTTCGGCACGGCACCGCCCCCCTAATTAGGCAGAGCGCGGGAGATAGCATGACGGTCAGCGGTGAGTGAGGTTTGCAGCAATGTTGCTTCTTAGGAGCTTGAGGGAGCCTGTTCTTGAACTGTTCACATGTCCCTCCGCGGGGCCTTCCCGGAATGTTCGCATGTCCCTCCCGGGCGGCTTCTATCCGCTGCCGTTTCAATTCAGAACGCGTTCAGACATTGTGCCTTTCATTTGCATGTTCTGATACATGTTTTTGGTACGCCTTTTCTCCATCATCGAGAGGCTTCTGCTTACGCCGCCAGGGTCCATCGACCTCGGTAGGGGAGCTTCGGCTCCCACGGACTCGCACGCCACTGCGCTTCGGTGGAAGAGGACTCCAACGGTTCATTGTCGGTGACTAGACATAAATTGTTTCTTCTTCTGGGGACTCCGTCGGTGACTGGGCGGAGATTGCTTCCTTCAACATTCATTGTTTGTGATTGGACACAGATCGTTTCTCCACTTCATGGTAGACAAAGTGATGCAGATTCCGAGTACGTTGGGGCCCAGGCAGCTGGGTTTGGCAGCGCGGCGGACCAGACGAGCATGCACGGCGAAAGTACCGCCAGCCTGTGACTCCAGATGGCAACGGTTCTACCCCTTGAAGAACTGGGCTCGCAACGTGTCTTGGTGGGCCTCGGCGCGTGAGCTGCCCGACACGGCTCAAGGTGCAGCGGTGATACTACGATTCGAAGGGGTGGCCAGGGAGTTGCGCAGCACTTTGGACCCTCAGACAGTGCGCGATGGTGGTACGAGAGACTTGCAGGACGGGGTCGGAATGAGACAGTTTTCAGGGCTGGCGATTCTATTTCGAGGACTGCAGCGACAGGTCGCGCCGTTGGACGCGGAGACATCGACACCGTCGATCGCCGAATTGATGAGCGTCCGGAGGATGCCTGGCGAGGACGTCGACACCACACTGGGGCGTTCCTCAAGCTTGCAGTTCAGAGCGGCGGCGGGCGGCAACCTGGTTTGGGGGCCGAGTGGTTTCGCCTGGCTACTGCTGAGCGGACTTCGGGTACCACCGTCGGAGTGGGTCAATATGCTGGTGGGCTTCCGCAGCGATCTACCAGATAAGGAAGCGCAGTTCAACCAGCTGCTGTCGTTGATCCGACGCGCAGGACACGTGCGCCAACGCGGCCGCATCGCAACCGCGGCGATGGCAGGCGGCCACGGAGGAGGTCGCGGACTACCAGCAGCACCACGCGGACATGGTCAAGGTCAGGTCTTCTTTTCTGCGTCGGCCGTCGGACCTGGCCAAGCCTGGGATCAGGCCGACGGTTGGACTGGAGGTGCGCTGACAATTCGTGGCATGCCGGCGATGGCGTGCCCCACTGAAGCGGAAACTTCGCCAATGGGCATGCAGGGCACGCGCGCGACCCGCGACGACGGCGACGACCGCGACGGCGATTGCAGCAGCAGCGCCGCCGGCGGGGATGGAGTACCACAGCACGACATGGACTCTTACCTCAGTAGCACCGGCGTCAGCAATCCAGGTGGACACGCTGTGGCACGAGTACGTTGCGGCACGACGACGGTGGCGCACGTTCACGAAGAAGCACACAAGGTTCGACCGCAGGACACAGACAGCACAAAAAGACATGGCCGAGGACGACATCGGCATGGAGACGGACATGCTCACGACGGCAATGGCTTCGCGTGGCATGGAGACGGACATGCCACGACGACAACGTGCAAATTGCGGCACTCACACTTGCATCTGGTTGGGTCCTTCGTCAGGCTACTTTGAATTTGACGGTTGTGCTCTAGAGCTCGCACTCAGGCTCACCAGCCCTCAGATTGACCCATACGCAAGTTTTGCATCACTTTCGAAGTCAGACTCACCCAACTCAGAATTACTCGCGCCCAGACCCGCTCGCACTTAGACCTTGCTCGCACTCAGGCTCACTCATGTTCAACCCATTCGTACTCACACCGATTCTACCCAGATTCATTCATGCACATTCGCGCTCGACCACTGCCGGGCCCACTCACACTCCGAGTTGCGCACGGTCTGATCACCCATGTTCGTATTCGCGCGCGCCAGAGATCACACACACACACGCACATGGCTGCCGCGATCCAGCCGGCGTGGCACTTGTGCACCCCGAGTGCCTGCAGGCGCCGCGAGTAGCACGCCAGAGAGCGGGCGTAGCAACGCCATGCGCGCTTGCCGGAGTTGCCGCGGGAAAAACAGCAAGTGGAAACTCCTTCGCTCTTCCAGTTGCGTTTGCCGCATATCTCCGGACATCTGTCCAGATGATGAGGAGTAGGAGGAGGAGGAGGGCGTCACTGATGTCGTCGTCGTCGCGTTTGCAGCGCTTGTGGTCTGAGCCGGATTTGGTCCCACACCCATATGATCATACACAGAGTTGTTCTGCGAAGCGTGACTTGAGTATGAGGTTCACACGTTTGGATCGCAGCGTCGAGCAATTTCCGTCCACTCCTGCGTGGCAGCCCTGGCCTCCAGCCTCCCTGGTACCACCGTCTTCCAAGGACTTCGGATAGCTTTATTTCTCATGTCCCAGGGTTTGTTTTTGGTTGTATTCAGACGCTTCTGGGCCTTCTCCACCTCACACGTCACGCTTTCTTCCTACTCCTCCCCCAATCCATTCGTTCATAATCAAACCCAATCATCCTCAAACTCACTCGCATGTCATATTCAGAGCCACTTACATTCAAACCCATTCGTATTCAGAACCAGTCAAATTCAAGCTCACTCATACTCGAACTGACTCACACACCGACACATTCAGACGCACCCACATTCAATGCTCACCGCAATATTCGGGGCGTGGCGCTTCGGCGCCCCGGGGGGGAACCGCCAGGGGTGGGGGCACCGCAAGATTTGCGCAATTTTTTTTTCGGATTTCGGAGCAGTTTGTGGGGATGTCTCAAGCGAGGCGCTTGCGATAACCCTTCCAGGGGGGGAGCCGCCAGGGTGGGGACACCCCAAGGCTCGCGCCCAGATTGTGGGGATGCTTCAGGATGCGCAGTACGCTTTGCCTCTGGAGCAGTTTGTGAAGATTTTTCGGGCGAGCGGTGGTCTCAGCACTCCATTCGGGGAGCCGCCACAGCGGCGGCACCCCACGATTCGCGCCCAGATTGTGGGGCTGTCTCAGGCGGTTTGCCCGTTCGCTTGCGCAACATCCTATGGTTCCGGAGCAGCTTGGGAGGATGTCACAGGCGAGGCGCCGGCTTCAGCGCTCCCCACGGGGAGCTGCCAAGACGGGGGGCACCCCAGGAGCAGCGCCCCGAGTGTGGGGAGGGGGCTGTGCCAGCTTGCTTGCGCAGCGTCAGTCGTTTTCGGAGCAGTCTGTGAGGATGTTTCGGGCGAGGCGCTGGTTTCGGCACCTTCCCGGGGGGGGAGCCGCCAGGGTGGGGACACCCCAGGATTCGCTCGCCCAGGTTCTGGGTTCGGTTTGCCGCCACGTGGGAGGAGGAGGAGGAGGAGGAGGAGGAGGAGGAGGAGGAGGAGGAGGAGGAGGAGGAGAAGGATACGTGCGCCCTGTCGCATGCGCAGCATCCTCTGCCTTCGGGGCAGTTAGTGAGGACGCCTAGGGCGGGGCGCTGGCTCAAGCGCCGCAGCGGGGGGGCCCAGCTTGTGGGGACGTCTCTGACGGTTCGTGTGGGCGCCGCATACACGCAGCATAAGCTCACATTCGCGCTCAGGCCACTCACACTCACACTCTGACCAGTCAGACACCTCACACCCACACTCACACTCGGCTACTCTCAGGCCTTTCACCCTCACGCTTGGACTCAAACCACTCACACTAACATGCACTCAAACCTCTCACGCTCGCACTCACACTTAGACCGGTCACATTCACTTGTGCACACATGGGGAATCTCCGCGTCGAGTAGATCTCGCCGTCGTGTCGTGTCGTCGTGTCGCGTCGCTGTCGTGCCATTGTCGTCGTGCCGCTTTGTCGTGCTGGCCTCCCCTGGCCCCCTTCCCCCCCCAGGACTTCGGAGTGCCTGATTTTCGTCGTCGTCGTGGCGTGCCGTCGCGTCGCCGCATCGTGCCGTCGTGTCGTCGAGTCGTCGAGGCCTCCCCTGCCCCGCACGCTCTGGCCTCCCCGGCCTGCCCTGGCGTCCTTTGCCCCCCCCCCCAGGTGCTTCAGAAGAAACATCGTGACGTCGGACGTTCCGCCGTCAGGGTTTTTTTTTCGGGGGGGGGGGAGAAGCAGGCCATCGGCCGCGCGGCGGGGACAGATGCCTGGTGCCAGTGGTCGTGACGTGTTGGCCGCATGCAGGCTCCGTTCTACGCCAAGCCGGGGCTCCGATCCCCCCTCCATGGGTGCAGGCCGCGCATGCAGGCTCAGTTCTACGCCCCCCAAGTGCTCCAGGTCCTTCCACCCTTTTCCTCAGTCCCTGGCCAGGGGCTCCCACGAGGGCGCGAAGTTGTTCGCGCTTCGCGGTCCTCGCGGTCCCTGTTCCCTCCCCCCCTCCTCCTCGTCCTCCGTTTCTCCCTTTGGGGGGCGGCGCGAGAGCGCGAAGTTATTTGCACTTCGCGCCTCGCGCAGCGCGAAGCGCGAAGTTGGGAGCCCTTGCGGACCTCCCTGGTTTCTCTGCACCTCGCACAAGCGCTTCTCCCTCCCCTCGCCGCTCCCTCGAACACGAGCCAGGGCGCGCGTGCCACTTCTTCAGCATCGGCGGTGATACATCCGTGGTCGGAAACCGGCCCAGTCCGTCATAGTCCCATTGCGTCCCGCTCTATCCTGGGCTTAATGCTGAGCTTAATCCTGGGCTGGATCCGGGTTGCTTCGATTGGGTGGCTTTGCAATCGGGCTTGGTCGGCGTTCGTGCTTCGTATGAAGACCTCCAGCAGATGCCTCCTAACATCCCTCTCGATTGCCGACTCCCGTGCTTGCCCCAGGGAGCCGGATGCCCAGCAGAAGGACACACAGGGCAAGCGGAATAAGGCGGCGAAGCCCAAGCGCGATGCTGCCCCGAAGAAGCGCAGGCAGAGAAGCGCAAGCCCAGGCCGCCCTGGCCTCCTCGCGTGCCTGGGGGGGGGGGAGGGCGGGCGGAGGCAGGTGCGCAGTTGGCCCAGCTGGCCCAATGGGGGGGCGCCCTCGTCGCCACGGCAGGGGAGGCAGCTCCGAAGGCTGGTGCACTCGGACCCCGGGGAGGGGTCCAGGGCCTCGCCTCTCGGCTGCCTCGCCTCCACGGCCCTGTTGGAAGTGCTGCGCGCTCTGCAGTCTGACTGGGCTCGGTGCTGCCGGCCTGCAGCGGGGGGGGGGGGAAGGGGGAGGAAGGGGGAGGAGGTGTGCGCGTGTGGGCGGAGGGCCTGCGCCACCCTGCCAGCGTCCAGCCCGGACGCCACAAGGAGCACCCGCGTCTGCCAGCAGGCCGGGTGCACATGAGGCGGCCGACCTGGGCGAGACTTGGATGCACACGCGGCCGGCTCCAGAGAGGACCTCCGCTTCCAGGATCGGAGGAGGTGACCCCTCTTCCTCGGTGGAGGGTGGCGGACGGTCGGCGGCAGCCGGCGCAAGCTTAGCGGCGGCGGCGCCGCCAGAGGAAGCAGGCGGGCGTAAAGTTTGTCTTCCCACGAGGCGACAGCTTGCTTGGGGTCAGAGGTTTCCGGAACCCGCCATGTGGCTACATGTCTTGGCAGCGCTCGGCCCGGCCCTTCTGTGGCCGGGCTCGATGGGCTTCCGCATGGGTATCCACCGCGCGGCCTGCAGATGTTCAACATGAGAATCCGGGCACATGTGGTTTCGGCTTCCTCGCAGGCTTCAATGCGCTGGGGGCCGTGTGAGTGCTCGCGCGTCCGGAGGTGGGAGGGGTGATTCGGCTAAAAGGTGGATGAAGTTGTCTCAATGAGCTACCAGCATGGGCAGCGGGCCTGACAGGATATGCCGTCAGCGCACTTGATCCAGGGTCAGCTTGTGTTGGTCAACGCATTGTTGGTCCGAGTGGCACGCGGCGCTGGAACACAGTGGCAGATAGGGAATGCCCCCGTGACAGCATGGCCAGGGATGCCAGGGGCGCTGGCAAGGGCACTGCTGAGGCCGAGGCACACTGCGGGGCGGCGGAGCTGGAAGGCAGGCTGCGGGTGGAGCCCGGAGAGCGCGCCTGGCCTCCACGGCGCGGGCGTGGCAGCTGGTTCTGACGTGCACGCCGTGCCACGCCCTTGGCGCTGCGTGGCCCGAGGCGGCCCTGCTGCTCGCCCCCGCGCGACCACCCCGACGGGCGAGCAAAGGGCTGCCGCCAGCCGACAGTGCGCTTCGGCTGCTCACGGGGCCGCCTGCTCGCAGCCCGTCGCCCTCGCGGGCGGGGCGGCCGCCCGTGGGGCTCCCGCAGCGGAGCTCACCGAGGCATCCTCGGGCCCCCCGGCGTTGGTCGAGCGGAGCGCCCTCGAACGGGACCGGGAAACAGGACGATGAGCAGGATGAGGGAGAGAAGGATGAGGACTCGGACGGGGAGGAGGAGGACTAGGAGGAGGAGGAGGAGGAGGAGGAGGAGGAGGACGGGGAGGAGGAGGACTAGGAGGAGGAGTAGGAGGAGGAGGAGGAGGAGGAGGAGGAGGAGGAGGAGGAGGAGCGCGAGGAGGATGAGGAAGAGCGGAAGCAGGAACATGGGGGAAGTAGCACGAGGGAAGGAGCAAGAGGATTCGAGCCGAAGAGGGCCACGGGCGGTGGAGGATGGGGAGCGGATGTCAGGTCCTCATGCGTCTGTTCTTCGGGAGCTCTCAAGCTTCTGCCCCCCCCCGATGCTGGTCTCAGCAGGCGTCGTCTGCCCTCAGTGCTTCCAGTCGCAGTTCTGGCGCATCGGGTGGCGCCGTTGCGGTTTCCCCGTCCATCCCCTTCACCCATTTCCCTTGTTGTCTGTCTTCAAGCGACATTCTCCATCCTTCGCCCCTCCTCGATCCTACCCACCCCCCTCCCTCGCGGGGAAAACAATTACGACGCGCTATGCTCACCCAAAGCAGTTGCCAATCTCAGTGGGCTCATCCCAAACGGATGCTGATATGAGGAATGTGATGGTGGCATACCCGTTGCACTCCTCATTGGCCGCGTATGAGAGAATGCCACATGTTAGGATACGGCGGGAGGATTGCGGAATGACGACGATGACCAAGAGAATTCATGGTGGGCACTATTCATGGAAAGCGAGGTACCCGCTTGCCCTCCCCCAGGCTCACGAGATGGCGTCAGTTGCGCAGATGATAGAGCCA